CGCGAGAACGCGGACAGGGCGCGGCGGGCCATGTTTAGGCTCATCCGGTTGGACGACGCAAAAACGCCGACGTATTCGCGACGTCGGTGCTAAAGTTACAATACAGCCACATCAGAACCTTGAGGTAATCAATAATGGCTGCGGTCCGGCCGTCGCGGGCTTTAACTTGAAGTCAAGCACCTTGTCGCGGTATGTTGGCTCACAGGGAGCGGCGCGTGCCCCGTCGTCCGTGGCAGCGACGCCGCGCCAGCGCGCGCTGCGCCGGAGCCACCTCGAGCTGCCGCTCGACGCGAGGCATGGACGGGAGCGACGGAAGGCGCCCGACGCGGCCCTTGATGGCCCATCTCCGCACTTTCCAGAACGGGTCTGTTGGCATGGGGCAGCTCCGAGTTGCCGCGGGCCTGCTCCTCGTCGTCGCCGCAATGGCCGGCGTCGCGCCGGCCGCGCCGGGCGACGGCACGCTCGCCGCGCGCCAGCACCGGCGGCTGAGTTCGAGAACCTCGCGGAAGTGGCAGCGGGCAGCCCTCGGCGCGTCCCTCGTCGCCGCCGCCGCCGCCGCCGCCGCCGCCGTCGCGCTGAGCTCCGCTGCCTACTTCGGCCGGTCCCTGAGCGACCAGCGGCCACGCAACGTCGTCGCCTTCTTCCTCGCGGTCTTACTCCTGGGCGCGGACTGCGCGTTGGCGCTGCCCGCGCGGCGCAAGCTTGGCGCCGCCGCCTACGGCGTCCTCGTCGCGACGATCGCGCTCACGCTCGCCGTCAACGCCTACGTCGTCAACGTGGTCGCCTTCGATGACCGCGCGTCCGTCCTCGACCGCTTCCAGGACCCGCGGAAGACGCGCCGAGCGGGGCGGCACCACGGGTCCGGGGGCGTTTTACGCACGCCAGTGTGTCGCAGTTTCGAACGCGTCGAGCGCGCCCTCGCGCATCGAAGCCGCGCGCGTCGACCGGGAAGCGCGGTCCCCGACCCGAGGCGTTTTCCAGGCAAACTATCGACCACAACGACCTCGACATCATGCCGGCGCCGACGCGGCCGCCGGGGCCGACTCGGGGTGCTTCGCGCGCGGGTCCGCGCGCGCGCGTTCCCGAGGAGAGACCCGCGTGATCGCTTGTCCCAAACCATGGCCGCGAGAGAGGCGCGCGGAACCTTCGCAGGTGCTATTCGATGTCGCGGTCGCTCATGGGCAGCGCGCGCGTGCGCGCCGCCGTCTACCTCTCCGTGGCGTCCCTCGACGGCCTCGTCGTAGCCCTGCCGTGGCTCGAGCCCGAGGCGGAGCTCGACGGGTTCCAAGCCGCGTGGCAATCCACCATTGGTTTCGGGGACCAAAACTCTCGATCCGCCGCCGTTTCCGCGCAGGTTCCAGGACTGGGACCTCTGCGCGTACTCGCTCGTCCGCTTCGTCCAGGACGTCGCGGGG